TTATTTTGTAATAATATTATAGCTCTTTGACTTATATTTCTGCCAGTTAGTTTTTCTCTGACAATTAAAGTAAAAGTAGGTTTGTTTTTTTTTTTTAAATCAAATTTAGAATAATAGAATAATTCTATCAATTCAGATCATTGTTATAATATCTGTAGATTGCAAAAAACGTTACAAGGATAGACAAGTGAAAATAAGAATATGACGATTGTATTAAAAAATTTTCACATCTTATAAAGATATAATTGAGCGGATTCTTTTTAATAGATTAGATAATGTTCAAAAAGATTGATAAAAAGAGATTTGGCTTCGTGTTTTTAGTAACATGCCAAGTAGAAGGTAGGGCCGATGATTTTCTGTAGTGATATTTATTTTTAAAAATAAATATCATCACAGAAATCATTGGCCTTGTAGTAAAGTAATCACAATCACGCATGCTATCATATAAATATTCCAATTTTACACTTTTTTTTTATTAATTAGAATTGAGATAGCAAATAATCTCTTATTATAGAAGCTAAACAAAGTAAAAGATAACTTGTACATTAATACCAATTGATTATACAAATATAAATCTAACTATTTCTAACAAATATAGCTAATGTGAATGAATCAGATGCAATAGAAGGAAATGTACCCAATCCAAAGAGAATCTTACACATGGTGTGATTAATTAAAACTAATATAAATAATTTCAGTTTTAATTGATCATGCCATGTGTGAGATTTACTTTGGATCAGGTACATTTCCTCCTGTTAGCAGACGATAAAGAATTTGAAATTGGATTGTAATTAAGGTTCTGCAAATATCAGGCATGGTGCTAAAAAACTATAGTGCCTAGCACACAAGTACATATTTTTTCAACACTATACCTGGCACTTACAGAACTCTAATTGTAATCAAAAATTTAAATACCACTCATATACTAACTATTCGTTTACCAGATTCCTAAAATTATACAAATAAGTATTAGAAAATATTGCATAAAAATTTATACATATTTAAAATAAAGAGTAGCCAGATCCCAGAATATACAAATGTATATATACTGCCTAAATTTGAAACTTGGCTTATAAGATCTTTAAAAATACATATACATATGTACTAGTACTATCTAAATTAAAACTATAAGACTCGTTCACTTAGATCTTTACTTATATACTGCCTAAATCGAAATATATATAAATAATTTAAAATTAGCTAGGTCTAAAAATACGTAAACAAAAATATATAGTATAAACTATTTAAGCAAAAGAAGCTATACATAGCTTTTGTTATCTTTTGCTAGATTATATTCTTTCTCATTACTTTTATTAGTTTCAAGGTTGGTTTATTGGTTTGCCGTAAGTTTTAATATTCTACTTAGATAAGTCAACAAATTTGATATGTGATTTGGGGTACAATTTTTATTTACGCCCAATCAGCATATGATATTTTGCAGATCATTAGAGGCCCAATTCTACAAATCCGCGTATATGTATATATTGCCAAATAATATAGTAAATTTAATTATAGTATGTGTGATGCTCTTATTTGTCACACTTTAAACTCTAATGATAATCAACTTACTCTAGTTATAGCAGTATAGTGAAGCTTTTGAGCTAAGAAAACAATCTTTACTATAGCTTATATTGAGAGAATATTATATGGCTTTACTATATTAAGTCAGAGTTTAATAATTCTGAAATTTACTATATCAAATCTTCACTATAATGAGAGTTCACTATAACAAATGATGAGAGGATCGTGTTAATCTTGCGATATACTAATTACCACATAAAATAGGGTTCTGCAAATGCTGTATATCATATAGCAATAGTGACTATGTCTATACTATACTTTAATAGAGCACATGTTAGTACTTGTATAGCCCTAAGCTTAAAGCACTATATGCGGGTAGTTTTGAATATAGTTAATGAAGTTAGTTCGTAAAAGAAATAGTCCACTTGTAAATTTTATTGCTAACCATACATTGTAAATTTTCTTAGCTTATATCTATACATATTTTTGTAATACTCCAAAATGATTAATATGCCCAACACTACCCTAATATAGTACGTGGCTTGGCTATTTCAAGTAAAAAACAATTATTGTTATAGCGATAACTCAGTATTTAGTTGTTGTATTAACCTGTTTAGGTTAGTATGCACATATAAAATACAATTACAGTTGCTTAATATGGTCATAGCATAAGTACTAAGTATTTATTTTCAAATCACATGATAAATGTATCACTAAAATAACTTTATACTGTTGTAATAACTGTAAATTGTATACTTATTTTTTATAAAATGCTGAATCTTATTTTTTATAAAATGCTAAGTTATGACCAAGTTTGTCACATGTTTGGCACTTATATGAACCACGAACAGAATTTTCACCATATTTTTGTTTTGTTCTTTTTTAATGCTATTTTCGTATCTTTGTTTCAGAGTTTTTCTTTACAAGCAACTTTAAAGAGGTTCTGAACATTAATGATGCTTATCATAGGCTTATTTTTAGTTTCTTCTTCACTTTCTAGCTCAGATTCAGAATCTTGTGATAATACCCTTGTATTTGTACCTAGATTAATAGTACGTTGTTCAGATGATTGATTTATAGAGTCATTTTGTTTTTGATCAGTCATAGCATCTTGTAGACTTCTAATTGCTTGTTGCTTATTTTTTTTTTTATTAATATATTTCATTAGGACCTGAATTATCTCACTATTATCATTGTCTAGAGCAAGCTGAGTGGCTTCATGTGCAAGTTCTCAGATTCGGCTATATTGATTCCTTTTATCAATAGTTTTTTTTGTAATCAATGCGATAACTGGTTTGGTGACTGATTTGCATATTGGAATTGTACAATTACTCAAAGCTAGATTAAGCATAACTTTTTTATTGTTAAATATTATATTATCTTTTTTCAATATTTCATGATCTTGATATGGTTCCTTATATCATCGAGTAGATACTATAGATAGATGAAATGCTGCTATTTCTGAATGCATCATTACGCAGAAATAATGGCAGCATACAATGCCTTTTAAAATACTTATGAGGCAGGGATATAAAAAAGAGATCTGATTGACAATTACTACAAAATAAATATGATATCTTTTCTCGACACACAAATCAGTAACTTTTTAATTTTTTTAATATCTTTATGTCCAATTTTATCAATTATAGCCTATATGTCTCGTATCATATTGGTCTTCTATAAATCCATCGTAAGCTTGTTTATCATTTTTCTATTTTATTCCAATATTAGGATTATTAATAACTATTTTAGATTTAAATATAATCAGATTAAAATGAAATTTGGCATACTATTAAGCCCTTATAATCCATTTATGCTCTTTTATTAATAATTTTAACTCTAATCCAGACTCTAAAAATACTACAAGAGATTTTATTATAGATCAAGTTAAAATTGACAAAGCAAATTTTTATTTTTAATCTTGTTTTATTTTAATCTAATATCATTCTAATTATTTACAATAACCTTTTGTTACCTGTTCTTGAGTTAATTCTTCATTTGTAGGCTCAATTCTGTTCACGTTAATATATAGACATTAACCCATCTCAACTTTAAGTTTGTCACTGATTGTTTTAGTAGTGTATTTATTCAACACATCAACTGTCTTAGGAAAAAGACTCTGACTAGTCATAGATACTGTTATTACCATAGTTGATACTCTGTATTTACGAAACTGCTTCCACTATTTCTTATCTTTTAATCATTGATCCAGATGATCAACAAGCTTACAAAGTATGCTGTTTGCTCTTAACTCCTTTTTAATTATCTAGTTATATCCCTCTATACATGTGGTACTTTCGATGCTAGCTATAAAAATTTTATATAAGTATATGCATGCTCACGATTGATAACTTGGGCTAAAAACTCTAAGCAAATAATCATTGGTCATAGGGTATTTTTCAAGCAAATCTTTCCACCTTTTATCAAAAAGGGCCTCGCATAAACTATTTCTGCATTGATAAAAACTTTTTATAAATTTTTTTTATTTGTTTTCCAGCTTTAACTTTAGATTCTTAGAAAGGTTTTGCCTGATGTAATAGATGCAATGAGCTAAATATGTTGTTAGAAAAACACTAGATATAGCAGCATTTAATGCAGGATCTGAATCTGTGAATAATACAATAGGTGGCTTTATTGATGCAGTTTAGGATCTATATATATGTTTCTAATATTTTATTGCCAACCAACACTTGGCACACAAGTCTAGATTTACTATTATTGTCGATAATGATAAAGAAAGAGAAAAGCATTTGATATTGATTTGTCCTTACCATATTGTCATTAATTACTACATCATAATATTTTAACCATAGGTTGGTTTGTTTAGATAACATCTAGAAAAGTTTAATCAAACAGTTATTGTCATCAAGCTCAAAATTAATTGTCTACCGTGGATTAGCTGCTTTTTTTTCTATTAGTGATACAAGTAAAGTAGATACGTCACTTGTTGTATTAGAATTTTTTGCTCTTCTAAATTTACTAATAGCATTAGCAAGGTCAATGTCCTAGAAGTTCATATCTGGAAAACATGTTTTAAGTATATTTCTTTGTAAAGTAATCGACAGATTTTCATGCTTAGTCATTAATTCAATTTCTTTTATAGCCTTTTCACTTAAAAACTGATACTTGATTGCAAATTTTTGGATTTCAGATAAAAATTTGTGGTTGTGCCAATTAACCAATATAGTTATTTTGATTTGAAAATCGTTGTCAGCTAATGAAAGATTACAATGCCAAAGGCAATTTGATTTTTTCGTTCTTGTATTTCATTGTGTTTCTTTTAGAGCTGCTTCTTGACTTTTTACAGGTCGAATATATGAAAAATGGTTAAATAATAGGATATACTTTTATTGATCCATTATTTACCCGATATGCATATTAGAAAAAAAATAATAGTAAACTAACAGATATCAGTATTAAGGTAAAATAAAAGATAGATATTAGATACAAAATAGTATACT